CCCCACCCACACCCACACCCGCCACCTACACCCACCCTCAACCAGCTGGTTGGACAAGATATGGATTGAAAATTTTGGAAAGGTATACTAATGATGAATGGCTAGATCCATTTGGACATCCTGGAAAGTGGTACAGAGCTTTTCATGAAACGGGAAATGCAAAAACTGTAGATTTCAGTAATTCTAATGCTTCATATGATGCTCAATACGCCTCTGTTGATGCTGCTTCTAATATTCATAAAACTAGATTTCGTGAAGCAAGAGTCACTTTTTATGGACCAGGTGTTTACTGTTCTCCAAACCAACTTTTGTAGAGAATGTTTATGCCGGGGTAGCTAAACTAGATACAAAAATCGGTGAAAAAACTTTAAAAATTATGCTACAGGTGGCTGTCAATCCCGATGGTGTCAAATTTGTCACCGAAGATATATGGGTCGCTCAACATTCTCAAGATAAACGAACTTATGGAATACTCATTAAAGAAGTTTAACTTAAAATAATCAAAACTTTTGATTTACTACGCGTAGCTATAAGCGAATAAATGAGATATGCATTCTCTATATCCATCACATGTGTGTCATATGGTATTTTTCCTTTTCTTTCTGTCGTTCATTTTATTGTCTTTTCTTTCCTGCTCTCTTCTCCTTTCTCTCTCTCTCTCTCTCTCTCATTCTTCGGTACATTCCTTACATGTATTGAACTAGCTATTTTCAAGTGGAAAAAAAGGGACATGACGTCATCTTTTTTTCCCAAGTACATCTTACTACAAAGGTAGAATACGACCATCTTCTTTCCCCTCTCACTTGGGTGTGGGTGTGGGGTGGGGTTCGGGTTGGGGTATGGGCGTGGGGTAGGTGTGGGTGTGGATGTGGGTGTACAGGTGGATGTGGTGGGATCTGGATGTGCGTGTGACTCTTGATCTTCTCTCGTTTCACACCAACACCCACACTCACACCCTTGTGTGTTGTATTGCATTTTGATTTGTCAGTTGTAAATCTTATTTTATTTGATCATGAAAAAGTTAGGTTAATATTATTCAAATTTTTATGTTTAGTATTATTCATCAAAACAAAACATAATATTATTGTTAAGACTTTAGAAAAATGTGAATAAATATACGAAAAAAATCGATTCACTAAAATTCTACTATATTATTTAACCTTTTGAGTCGCAGCGGGAATCATACTTTCCATCTTGAGAATTTTCTAATCATCGAGTTTTTGATAATCTTGGAGAAATATTTTCAGTAAATGTTAAGAGCTAGCAGAAGTCCATACAAACTTGCATTGATAATAGAGTGTATGGATAATATTGAAAGATGTACCTTGCAAAGTTTTAACGCCATAGAGATGACTCTTTGATGAGTGTACCAGAGTTTACATCGACTTTATCGGAATAGAATGAAACTTTCAGAACTTGTAGAACTTGTATCTGTAAGCATAGCTGTAGATTCGAAAAAAATTGAAAAACCTTGTGAAGGGATCCAAATGGGGAGAACAAAGTGGGATCTCCTAGACAAATTGAATCCTATCTAGTTTCTCTGTTACAAATGCGAAAAGTCTGAAAATTTTACCATAGATGTCACTCGTTGAGGTTATTATCTTTTGTGGTGGATGTTTTTTTTCCCTGTTCTATTTGTTGGGAAAAAATCTACAAAAAATACTAATTTTGGACGCTTTTTTGGCTGAAATATCTCTATGAAGCCTAAACAGAATTTTAACTTTTATTAGTGCTCTAGTATCGACTAACTGTCCTCTATCTAACGCTGAAATCTCCAGGTCTGTTGCTAGTTCCTGAGCCAAATGGCAAAGCCATTTTTGAAGCCTACTTTAGAATTGTCGTCAATTTTGTACCCACCTCAGATAAAACCACGAGATTGCCAAAACTTGTCCTATAGTGGAGCTTCATTAGCACACCCAGCTCTACTATTTCTGGTAGTTTCATCAAATTCGGTTCGGTAGAAAAAATTCAGGACTCAAAGGATTAAACAATGACAATTATAAGCGATTTTTAATTATACGGAAAATAATCTAAAACGCATCATTTAAAGTACATAATCAGTTTTTACTTAGAGCGTACCAAAAGTTCGTAGCCCGATGTTACTTAACCATAGGGTAACCTTTAAGAAACTTTCTTTCTATACAGTCTAATAGAGAAAAGAATGCTCTATTTTTCTATGCTATTTGATCATACCTCAGCTAATATCGTGATAATAAATTTTCGATAAGACTTTTTTCATTATCATTTGTGCTCTAGTAATTTTCGCATTGCAGTATCCAATCTCTTAATACATTGTATTAACGAACTAAAATATACTATAAGATGCAGCGTGAAAAGCTCTAAAATTTACGTAAGACCGTTTATTTTATAGTTGCACTTTTTGTTTTCAAAATGGACAAAATTATGAGTGATCGAATTTCGACCATGCGAAATTGATAATGTTTTTGATACACGGCGAATTCATTTTTTGTTACTATATCGTTTCGTCATCTGAAAAGCTTTATCAAAAGAAAACAAAATACACCACAAGATGCAGCGCGAAAAGTTCTACAGTCTTCATAGTAAAGCTTATTGTAATTGTTTTCAAAAGAAGGAAAATTATCTGCGACCAATTTTTGCAATGCTCAGAATTTGATCCCTCAAAACTTTGTTTATTTTGATAACGAAAAGTGTAACTATACAGTAATTGATCTTATGTAAATTGTAGAGCTTTCGCGCTGCATCTTATAGTATATTTTAGTTCGTTAATACAATGTATTGAGGGATTGAAAACTAACCTGATTCATCCGTTGTAATCCAGTACTACGAGCACAAATGATAATGAAAAAGTCTTATCGAAAATTTATTATCACGATATTAGCTGAGTATGATCAAATAGCATAAAAAAATAGAGCATTCGTTTCTCTATTAGACTATGTAGAAAGAAGGTTCCTTAAAGGTTATTCTATGGTTAAGTAACATCGGGCTACGAACTTTTGGTACGCCCTAAGTATTCATTTTAAATAAGAAACCAAACTATATTCAAAAGATAGTGCATAGTTGAATGCAAATCTATTTAAGGCTACTTCCATCCACCCATCCTTCCTCTATTCTATGATGTTTTAAAAGCTATTTTCGTTAGAAGTAACTTTTTCTTTTTCATTCTTGCTTAATCTTTGAAGGCTTGAGCCTTCAAAAATGAAGAAACAATGGAAGAGAATATTTTATTATCAGTTATTTTGATTATTTTTTGTTTTGGTTATAGTAAAATTGATGCGTGTCTACTGTATAATGTATTTATCGTAGTTTAATCTAAAATGTGTTCTTTGAATTGTCTAATAAATCGAAGATATA